AGAGTGTGGGGGAAGGGCAGAGAGAGAGAGAGAGAGAGAGAGAGAGGGAATCCCAAGCCAGCTCCAAGGAAAGGAGAAATCGAGACCTGAGCTACAAGCGGGACACTTAACTGACGGAGCCCCTCCCTTTCCTTCCTCTTTAACAATCTTTATTTCACCTTCCCTCCCCCTTTCCTCTGAAAAACTGGAAGTGGGTAGAGGGGGGAAGTGAGCAAAGGAGATGCAATTCAGGGGGACCCTTGGGAAGATGCTGGGCTCTGGTCTGGCCTTTCTTTCTTTCTTTCTTGCCACCCAGCAGGGCTAGAGGGAAGGGGTTACAGAGTCAGAACTGTTCTTGGGAGTGTGACTGAGCTGAATTCTGGAGATAATAAAGAACATCTTCCCCCACATCATGTGCCAGGCTGCTGAACAGAGTGCACGTCTCTGTCCCACAGACCTGTAGGGGACCCAGAGGAGAAGGTGTTCTAGCATACCTGCATATCTGTAAATGGCATAGCCTCAGTTCTTTAGTCTTGGAACATGAAGTCTCAATGAACTTTTAAGAGACCCAAAGCTGTTCATTTTGCATATGGGGAAACTGAGGTCCAGTGAGGGGAAGGACTAACTCAAGGTCACTATATGGGGCCCAGCAGTGCCTAGAGCTCAGATGCCTAGTCCCTGTCCCAGCGTCTTCCCATGCCTTGCGTGTTCCTGGCGTGAGTTTCCCATCAGAGGCACAAAAGCCCGGATTCTTTCCTTTGTCTGAGGCTGGATCTAAACTTGTTTTCCAGAATCTCGAGACACATGTGCCACAGGAGCGTCTTAGCCTAGGGGAGACTCCGTTTCCATGTCGTTGGCGCCGCCTGGTGGTGGAGTCGTGGAGAATTCTCAACTGCCGCGGCTACAGTCCGGCTACAGTCTTGAGACCTGGACTGGAAATGATTCCCCAGGGCCCAAGTTTACATTAGATCTGGGCGGGAGTGGGGGTGAGTGATATTGGGAGCTTCTGCTCGCCTTGCATAGGCTTTGGATCTTGCCTTCTCCCACCCCCGTCTTTCCGGACCCCTCCTTCAGGCCCCCTTTCCCGTGTACCCTTACCCTTCACCATGCAGACAGATCTCCGGTTGAAGAGCTCCCATATCGGCGGGCAAAGATTGAGAGTCTGAGTCTGGGGGACGGAGGGCAACGAATCCAGACTTTATTGTCGGGGAGAAGGAAAAGGGAAGACGTGGGTGGGGGGCCGGGGTTGCTACATTGTCAAGCAGAAAGAGTTGATGGGGACGGGAAGGCCAGTGGGGGCCCGTCCCTCTCCCGTGTCGGCTGCTAGAAGGGCTGACGATACGGAAACCAC